CCCCAAAACCCCAAAACCCCAAAACCCCGAGATGTTAAATTAATGCCAATGTATTGGGTAATTATAAAAATTAAATTAATGACAGACTTCTTGACTTCAACTTAGCTTAGTGAATGGTTTTATACTTCAGAAGATGATTTCAGACGCAAGTAGGGGAAATTCTATTAAAAGATGTGCGAAAAGATTGACAAGTACACAAACTAACCAGCTCCTAGTTTGCCAGGAGGTCCTCCTGCATAGCAGCCAATATACAGAATCATAAAACCAGATTCTTAACATAAGTTGCTTGCTTGGATTGCCAACAATATTGCTCAATTATGCATAAAGCTTAAGCTTTCCTACAAAATTATGGTAAGTCATTGAATCTTAAGCTTCATAATATCAATCTTTCATCCTCATATTCTTTATTAGGGCATTAGTTTGACATATATGAGAAGATTTTATTTGAAGCAGAGTGTATTCGAGTTTGACCCGGTGAGAATGATGTTCGCCTGCATTTTCTTGGCCATGAAAGTAGAAGAATTTGATGAAGACCTATAAGGATTTTGCAATAGAGTTAACATGCCAGATAAATGTGATCCATCAAGTAAGTCTCAATCATATTTACTTTTTTATCGTATATCGATGAGAGCATTTTGAAAATTTACATATTTAAATTTAGAACTTGAATAGCTGGAGGTACTTTTAGTAAGAGGTTTAGGGTTTTAACTCTTAATTTACACTCCATTCCAGGTCTATGAATACCTTCTTGAGACTATTGTAAACTCTACAGCAGGTCTAGATATGAAGTTGATCAGGAAATATAGTGCAGAGCAGGTAACTAAGGTGTTCTAGTCAAGTTCATTGATCTTTACATTTACACCCTAGATTTTAGCATTATCTTGCGTAGACTTAGCCATTCAATAGTACAGTGCTGCAAACACAAACCCTGACATCTAGATTTAAACTCTCAACGAATACTTCCCAGATCTAAAGTTAGCTATTCTTGAAAAGGTAGGGAATGCCAAGGAGAAGATAATGCAAATAGCAAAGCTAAACGATCAAGAAATACAGAAAATCAGAAAATACATCTAACACTTTCATTAATAACATCCTGAGTTCCTAGACCAAATACAAAAGGATAGAGTGAAAAGAGAAAATAAAACTATGTTATGCGGGTTTGATGATGAACCCAAGGTTTAGACTGAGTCGAATAATAAGCAACAATAAAAGGCTTCATTATAATAGCAGATTCAATAATAAGACATGCCTTTAGCCTCAAAAGCTCTAAATGAGCAATAACAGTAGTAAGAGCTATAACAAAAAAATAATGACTCTTTAAGATTACAATAAATAGGCTAAAATCAAACTCCTATCCAGCTACAAGTTTAACTGCAACCATCACTATAAATATCTTAAGATAACCTACAAAATTAAGATCATTTCATTTCTAATAATTAGTAAAAGCTAGACGATAGTAGGAAGGCTGAGTTCTTAGAGCCATTAATACCTTTAAGGAAAAGAAAATCTGAAATGATATCTGGAGATCCGTTGGCAGGAAAGCCAGACCCATCCAAATTGAGGAAACTTAATCCAGGAGCAGGACCCATAGCATAATGATGAGATCTAATTAAGAGATATAAATTTTAATGAGATTAAAACACTATAACTTAATAGTTAATTTCCTTAAGTAATTCAGGCAATGATTTGTTAAAACAAACTTTAGGGGTTTTGGGGTTTTGGGGTTTTGGGG